CATGTTGACTATAGTCAACATATGAACCGGTTCCACATGGTGATCTGAAATTAAGTTAAAATAATAGAAATTTTGACAGATTGATCGGAAGACTAAAAGAGAGATGGGGGGTTAACATATATTGATAGTAGCTGATGGGATCCGCATTTTGATAAATAATGGAATGTTCTAGTTTTATTGCATGGTTACTGATAGAAATTAGAGTTAGTTGGATAAGAAAGCGAAATTGTTGCTGATCAAAATTCTGAATCGTTTGGCGTTTCTGTTACCATGTTAGTGTTCGCATGATATCTGATATTATGACTTTGAATTCTTATTGTTTCTCAGTAAAATCTGATTTCATCTAAGTTTGGACCAAGCAAACATGACTGGACGTTCATTATCACTAATGTCTAGATCATTTGTAATTCTATCAATAATATCAGCAAATATCACTCTACCCTAACGACATTATAAGCTGAATTTTTGCCAACTACTTCGTTTGATTTTTGTGTATCTTTCAATTTGCTTGATCATACTAGGGTATACTCGAAATATTTAATTGAAATCTTCATCATAATATTCACATAGAACATCAGCTGATTTTAACTTTGCGGACGATTAGAAAGAGGTCTATCAACAGATACAAGTCTGCTAGAAAACCAGTTTGAAGATACATTTTGCATCATTTTCTACAATTTATACGGTCGTGGTTCCAAATATAATAATCGAGGATTCAAAAAAAGCGATATAACAACGATCCAAAACTAGACTACTTTTTAACAAATGATCAGCTTCCAGTTTAAGATTTCCGGATCCAAGCACCAGAACACTTCGATCTACTCACACTGTTTCCACGGTTTATTAAGTTCATTATTTCATAACTTCATGGGACAAACGCCTTCTCCCAACACCTTTATTTAGAACTTGATTATTTTTCACAGTGCAACTAACCGACTTAACGTTTGTGAGCGTGATAGCTACTGCTTTTGAAAACCCCACTGCCTTAAGACAAACGTACTTACTTGGGTTACAAGACATGAAAACCCACAAATAACTACTAAACTGACAAGAATCGCTTCGGTGTAAAGGTTCGGCAACTTTATATTGGACATTAACTAAAACATGGAACCATACCAAAATATAAGGAGGTGAACGTAAATAACTCGATCGATCTATATATTCCCATTACAAGTATCTTGTAAACCGTTTCAAATATGACGACTCACCGCGAATCGGAGTTATGCGACCACTTTAGTTATCGTTAAAAGTATATTATACTGATAGACTTCAGTGGAGTTATCATGATTAACACTGCCTCACAAGTTTTGTGAGATGTCGATGGTTTGTTGAAGGACAACTTATGTTCTGATATGAACGGAGTGGAAATTGGCAATATTTGGTCTGTAGACTTATGGTCTGCTTAGGTATTATTAACATCATAACATTAGATGTAATCTCAAAACTGTAGATTTGCCATGATGTGACCACCTAATCTATAGGGTCTTACATAGAAGTCATATGATTCTCTACATTGAATCGTCCTATGGCAATGATAGGCGATATGAAGTTCAGCACTTCTGAAGAACGCATTTGAGTTGGGAAGAGGTTAATATATTCGATACAATAAGCAAGAGGTTATAGTGACTACACCTGCGTGCCCGAGCCAAGCTATTACGATCAATTCACTTTGCGTTCGTCATTGTTAACCTGCACTTAGTGTTACATGCTGAATGCGAATCTTTTCAGTTATTTTACACTCAACTTCAAAGATCGTGTGGTTAGGAGCCGACACCACTACTGGTCAATGAAGTGCTTGGAACTGATTGAAAAAGTACATGGCGTGCAACAAAACATTTAGCATAAGATTATCCCTAAACAAATTAACTCCATCTAAAACCCTTCCAAGGTCGATGGCGGTCTCAACCCCAGTGTGAGACATGTTGTTAGTAACCAAAGTTCATAAAAACCTACCTTGTTAACAATGAGATGACCATAAATAATAATTAAAACTCTTCTCTGAGAGTTTAAAGGTTTCTATTGGAAAATCCATGACACCTCATAATGAAAGCCGCGATTCTTTGTAAATCATGGGGCCATTGTCTCTTTTGACTATCAGAGCAACAACTAATATACGTGTATTGAATGAGTATGAAACGTAGGAGGCCGAGACGACCAGTTAAATTGCCACGAAAATGAAATAAACAACCTGGAGATGGTCTCCAAAGTGGTTTACACTAAGTCGAACCCATTGAAAACACACTGAGAAGAAGAGTTTAATCTTAGGAGTTGTGCTGTTGTATTCCGGCCGTGGAAAAGAAAACGCTTTGGACATGTAGAAGGTTGAACTGATGACCTTTAAAAAAGAACGAAAAACACTTAAAGAAAGGTAATATTATGGATTCATAATCACCAAAGTATCTTCCAAATCAAAGAGAGAGGGGATCACAATGAATATCATCCAGTGTTCTGAGCGACTAGCGATATCAATGATAGGATGGCTGCAGTTAGTCATGGAGATATACACAGGAAGACTTAAAGGCGAAAATCAGAATAGGATACACCGGGTGTGTAGATATCATAGGACATGGACAATGAGAATGATAAGCGAATCACTGAAACTTAGGAGCATTGGAACATGGAGAACACGTTTAAGAGCTCTTGAATAAACCACCCTCCCTGAAAACACTGGATATCGAAGCAGGATATACAGAATTTCCCGTAGATGTTATTGTGAAGACAATGAAAATTAGTATGGCCACCAGACAAATGAAGAGTGGTAAGGCAGCAAAACCAAACAGTGTCCAGGCCTAGGGACTAAAGCTAGGCATAGTAGTGACAGTGAAGATGCCCCACGTTCCCTTCAGAAAGATTTGATGTTTATGACAAATACCGACAGATTATAAAGAGGGATAATATTCATGTATCAATAAAATCGTGACACGGCTAGTCACAGTTGAATAATCGGTCAAGTGCAACTAATTGCTATGTATCAACTTCTTCGAATAAGAGAAAACCTTTAATAGAATGAATAAGAGAACTTTACAGAGCTAAACAACTTACTTATCCTGACTTTGGCTATGCCAAGACTCTGTGTTCAACGGTGCGGATTAATTTAAAATGGTGCCCGTAGGAAATTACTTCCTTATAATGCTTCGAACAGAAAATTCGATATACCTACTGAAACGACTTCGAATAAGTACTATAATTCCTATGAGATTTCGAAGTTGCCACCCCATCATTCGGGGTATTAAGATGAAGATCAGTATGGAAGGAAAGAACTTAAAACCAAACACATGATAGAATTAGGGTTAGCCAAGTTACGTATAATCCAGTTTATAAATGAAATTGAACCAGAAAAGTTACGTTGACAGGGAAGTGAGGCTCTTGGCCAATCAGTAACTGACAGTGATAATGCGGTACCATAAAATCTGTACTTACCAAAGAGTGAAGACTTAGAGTAAGAGTTAAGAATGTAAAGTGTTATTTATTGTCCGTAAACACACTTGGTTACACGATGAACAACATCAAATACATTAACACTCAGTCTTCCATAAGAGGAGGTATGCTATGCCATTTAGCCTTGCACCATCTAAAATGCTTTTTGCACAATGGATATTTTGGTAAGGATATAATATTTGGACAACCGTTGAACGAAGCTCAAGCGACTTAGAGACAACTCACCTAATTAATTAGTAGTAATTACTACAGTCAAAAGAAGCCATAAACTAGTTTGAGTTAGGAATAGGATATAGAATCGAAATTTAAGGTGAGGGATTGACGTAAAAGATTTCATCACGCACTGACATCAGCTATAATGACAAAATACTATTTAACTTTGTAAGTGAATGCATTTCGCACCGGAATTCACGATTTGGTTAGTTTCTAAATTGTAGTTTCACAGAGGTTTCCACTAATTTCGAGAATTTAAAGGACCAGATACTTGATTAGTAGTGAAATTCACTTTTCTATTAATACACTTTGAACTTTGCTTCAAGTGTATAAGGCGTTATCTTAATTCTGACTGGCCAACTCAAGGCCATTAGCACGTTGTAATTATTCACTGTTAGCCTCGAAAAAAAATATTCCCTTTACTGTATTTTATACATAGTCCACTTCTATATATAAAAATGATTGCCATATCCTTTGCTATCTTATGACTTGTTTGTTGTTAAATTTACAAGTCTCCAACGTATTTCGTATTTATATCTTATTTTTACGTTGTATCGACGTGATCAGTCGATAGAGGACATATGACAAGGCCATTATCCATAAAACATTTATAATCGATTATCTTAAACCCAGTCAAAAGACGGAAATAAAGAGGTTCAAAGATATATTTTATGGCCCCAAGCTGCCAGCTTTGGGGAAAATTTGGTCCATTTTGGGGGAGCCGCTATAGTAAATTTTGGGGAAATGAGACGAAAAACCCAAAATTTCCCCAGACTATCGCTAGTCAGTGTCGTAAAGTATGTTATCTAAACTGACTAGTTGTTGCAATGGATGCGTACCATGGTGAACCCAATGGTGATCTTGTGCAGATACATGGTTGAGCTCTTTTAGCTAGGGTGTTTCCATTAAAACTAGTGAGGTGAATGTTCGTGTCAAATACGTGCAGAACTATTTGTCGTGGGGATTTATCTACCACTACGCGCAAAATGTTATGCTCGGTTACCGTACTGTCTTAACAGTAATGAGGGACTATAGTGTTATCATTTGGTAAGTACTTTGATAGTAGTACGTTACTTTACTGTTCAAAACAAAAGAATGCACTCCACTAAGCTAGATTGGTAATTTCAAATACTTGATATTCCCCTAACCAAATCTCTGTTTTCTCAAGTGTTTTCCCTGCGTATCATCTTTAGAATATTTGTCTAAGTGTTTATTTAACGTTCAAACAAAATTCTTAGCTACACCTAATTTTGATCAATTTTATCCATCCAAATAACTAAGTATGTGGTTGTGACAAGTTATTTTGATATGCTAACAAGTTGCGCCGATTCATCACCTTTCAAAGCCCCATGCGTGTAAGGTTTTCATATTTTGTTCGTCTCTTCGGTTTTTCGGCGGTGTTAACAGCTTTTATCGTACTGTGGAAATTGGGGAATGTCTCATATTATTTGGGATCTAAAAAGTACTCTGAGTTATTAAACAAGCTGATTCTGTAAATTTTAAGGGGTTTCAACCACAGTCATGAATCTGATTACAACGGAAACGGCTTCAACAATGAATATGACAGGTACTTTTAACTTTAATTGTCATCTATCACTTAGATTCACTCGTGAATTTGAAAGATTAAACTCAGACTCCGTTCGTTCTATCCGGTGCATAGTAAATGAAAAATTAATAGTCGGGTGCTATTTGCTGAAATCACAAGAAGTACTCATACCATTTGAATTAGTCCGTAATTATTTTAAGGTTTGTCTTTTTTTGTACGATTTTAGTTTTTTTACTTTTAAAGAGTGATGTCAGGAGTATGGGGATATCTTCTTCGTCCACAGTATGCTTATAATTGTTCATAAATAAAACTAATACGTTTTATCAACATCCCAAAGTGTGAGAAAGCCATTTTAATAATTCACCACTAGTAATGTAGTCGGATGATATAGATGAGGTAACTTTGGAAATCTCTTGTGGATCTTCCGACTTCTTGCTGTTGATATTCGTTGCGTCTACTGCGATTTATTGATATTCAAGTCGTGCTTCGCTCCTATTTGTATCTATTTATATTGAAGTAAGAAGAATAAACGTGGATTGAATGTATTACACTTGATTATGACATGGATGTCTGGATGATAATTGCGAAAGCTGTAGCACTTATATACAGAAGTTATACCATGTAAAAATTTAACGGTCTTGGTGCACGTTTAATAATCTTAAATGTGGGAAGTTACTTTTATTCTTTTTAACCTTGAACATGTATTAAGGGTTATATTCAGGGCAATATGTGTATGATGTTAGTAAATGTTAAAGGAACTGTAACTGTAAAGCGTGTGAAGAAATATAACAATCTGAAAGTGTATACTCTTTCCATAAAATTTTGAGCATGTTTAGTGGCACTATCTGAAAAATTGAAATTCAATATTCCAGTACGCTTATTGAATTTCATGTTAAGTGACTTTTTAAGGTTAAATTTCGGCTCTTAGTCCTCTTTACAGATAGTGTGCTGTGATCAGAGGAATAGCTCTTCTGAGGAAACGAGAATACTTTGTTAAGGTTGCCTTATGGGTTAAAGCCTGCCTAGAAATTAGGAACTAAACAAGTTTATTTTCATTCACAAATTCGTATAGTAGTGCACATCACATATGAACCAAGGCTGAAATTATTAGGATGGTCATAATTTATTAACAACTCAAAGGATTTCAGTGACATCAGGGTTCCCAAGTGCATACCGATTGAGCCAGATTTTCGTGAGGAAACGTTTTCAGTCTTAAGTAGACATGTATCCTGCATAAATTATATTTATATTTTTATGGAACTTGCTTCTGGATTATGTAAAATACTTTCTAATATTCTTCAGGTAACACTTTTTTATTCTATTGATTGTATGTCATTAATCATAAATACCACAAGTTTCACAAAATCTTTAAGAACCTATGGATATCTGAGTATTATAATCATGGGATATCTTGCTCTAGACACTTCAAGGAATAAAAACCCTTCACAACTTTAGGTGATTTCCACAGATTTGCCCTCCAGTTATCATGGAAATTAGCCTACGTTTTCTCCGAGATATTTTAATATCCTGCTCAGTTGATTATTGGTTGTACATAGTTTTACTCATTACGATTAAGTTGGTAGTTGTGAACAAATTTTCTTACAGATTTATTAACCTATCGCTATTAAATAAACTTCTGAAATGAATTATTTTAAAATTAATTGGTATGTTACACTAAGTACTACTCAAGTTCTTCAATCTTTCACAATTTATTGTTCAATAAGTTTTTCGTGCTGATCATATTTGATTACTAGATTCAAATTTTCGATAGATTCTTATTGGGTCTTTCTAAGATATTGCGCTGATGTTTCTTAATGATCCACTGTAGTGTTAAATTATCTCCAAAACACAAGCTGATAGAATTAAGTGCAAACGTTTAAATAACAACGTGATAAATATGAGGGTTCGGAGTCATACGACTACATATGTATGTAGTACTTTAAAATATGAAAACATAATGAACAATTTAGCTAAAATGTGATTGTTTGACCACAAATAAGTAGTAATTGATTTTTCGCATTACTAAACTAGATCGTTTTCATATTTAGGTTTATGGTTCCCTTGATTCATCGTCTAGCACATTTTATTGGAATCACGCCAATGTTGACATCCCAAAACCATATTTGCATAAACATAATCCTGTCGGTATATATATGCAGTTTCATAAATCCAATGTAGAAAAACGAGATAATGTGAAATTAATCGTTGCAGATGAAGGTATGCTATGGCTTTTAATTTTATGGAATGTAGATTTTCTTTTGGTGTGTTAACACCTAATGTTAATTATGACTGTTATCACCATTGATTCTGGCGCTTATATTAAATCATTTCGTTATTTAATGAGTTTGAGATAGGACAAAAAATAGGTTGATTTTTTTTTCAGTAATTTAACTGTTTTCAGTCTATGGCAAAGAAATGTCCTTTGAATTCTGCTATGTGAAAAATCAAGCAACAACTGTTGGATTTAATTTAAATAATGTATAGTTCTTGTATAATGAAGTCAGTCCATTTATGTGTATACACTAATGTTAACCGAGAATGTACTACCCCCTCCTTCCTTTCCTCCCTGCAAACGACTGACTAAGTAAAGGGTTTCTTATACAATTTCTAAACTGATTAATACAAATCCATGTTTCTAGGTTGGAAACCACGATGCAGTTTAGTGTTGAACAAGCTGGAATGTAAAATTTAGGAAGCTGAAAACGATAACTGGTCAAAAACATGCTAGAAGATACTAATTAATTGGTTTGTATCACTACACTCGATTAATGGACACATTATTTGAATATACATTTGTTGGGGATGTGCGATCACCAAACACAACTTATGATAAAGGAAGTCATTATCGATGAAGATGGATTTCCACTGGATTAAATTATTCAATATGATTTCTTCTCATGGATTTTCAGTACATTTTTATTATGATTTGTATTTGGTGACAAATACTTGGTTCATAAATTCTAATGATTGTTATTTACATACAATCAATTAAGTTAGATGTATTTTCAATTATGATGGGGTCATCATCAACCACTAGTCTTCTTACTCAAGTTAGCGGGAAAGGGAAAAAGATGACTGAAGTAGTTTCATTCATTATATTGAAGTTGGAGTTGAGAAATACGAGCATAATTTATGGACATAAATTTTAAACTATTTCTGTACACTTGTTGTATATTTTTATAACCTGCTCTTTGCTATGCGATTCGAAAATATCAACTCAATAGTGACTCGAGATTTAACGCAATTAATGCTTAATGCTATCCATCCAATAATTTTGACCCAGCCCCTAACTGTCAGGATTACTAAGTCTGGTCTGTGAAGGTAAAGAATATATTTTGTCAAAAAAGCCACTCTTTATTTACAGATTGTTTTGCAGAGAATATTACATTTAAATAATTATAACATGTAAACCAATGTTACGTTGAACAAAGATCAAAACTGATTCAGTGCATAACAGAAATTGTCAGAATCAAATAGAACAAAATGCCGAAATAATTAGTTGTCGAATTTGTTAAAATTCAATCAAATGTCAAATTGGACGACTATCATGATGGTTTAATCAATAGTCTTACTCCTGATAGCGCTCTGTTACCTCCTCTCAAAGAGTTGTAAGATTCCACTCTTGAGTCAACCTGTAATAACCTTGGTCCTTATTTTCGTGACGATCTTAAATAGTTTTGTTCCGGTCTCACCAAATCAGATATTTCATCCACTTATTCAAAAAGTATAACAGAATAGTAGTGACTTCTGTCCAGTGTACTTCATATTTATCAGATATCAAACTTCAAATGTTCATATTATCAGTAATATAATTATTCATCGTATTACAGTAAGCGAGTATATTTTGGTTCATTTGTGTTTGTATAACTAATGCATTGGACCATTTTTTTAATGACACTTTTTCTCTTCATGTAAAATATTTTAAGTATGGTAGCTGAGCTAAATACTCATAAATCCATTTCCATTTATCGAATGTAATTCATATATTGCGGTGAAAGTTTTCTATAGTGCATATATCTGGCAATTCATTTCGTTCATTATCTTGTTAAAAAGTTGAATCACAACTTATTTGTATATTTACATTCAAATACAAACAATAATACATACCAGGAGTACCAATCAGTCAACAATGGAGTTCTCGCGGTTATCCATATCCAATTCAAATAGCACAATTTGGCTTGAATCATTTCAGTCAATTAGTTATATCAGCTGGTCAAGCGAAATCTGAAAATGTACGAAATGTTTTGTCGTTGGACAATAAAAATATGGAGTTAGATCTTATTGTTCCCAGTAATAATGTAATTCATCGTTGGGCTGATAAAGAGTTTATACATAAATGGAATGACAGACTTATGTTATCAGGTATGGCTATCATTTAATTAAAATCATTAAATTTTGACTGTATACACGTCAAAAAAATCCTTTTTTATGGAATTGACATATGGGACAAAAATAAAATCTAATAACGCTGTCTTAATTCCCTTGACATTTGAGTGATCTACAAAATTCTTGTTTTCAAATTGTTTATGACATTTAATATTGCTATTTTTCTGTTGAGAGGTTTTATTCTAACATATGTAAAACCTGTTCTCTTGACCAATGTTCTTGTCTTTAATGTCGATTTATTCGGAAGTTTGCGTCAATAATCCTGTTTCGCTAGCAGTCATCACTTGGTCACATATAATCTGATCAGCATACTACCGATTTATTTTAAAAATCCTGAGTTCGAATCCCGCGGGCAGGATCGTGGATGCGCACTGCTGAGGAGTCCCATACTAGGATAAAACGACCGTCCAGTGCTTCCAAGTTTTCCATGGTGTAACTTCAATTGACTCATGAGTTCAACTGTTAAATCCACAATGTGTTCAAGTCACAAAGTCCTAACCGATAACAAAAATAATCTGTTCGTGTGTAGTAGGAATCTAGTGTCGTAAGATATAAAAAAACGACGTGTTTTATCTTATTTAGTGATCATTTTCATCACAGTCAATTTTATCAACTGGGAAACCCAAAATAACTGAACAGTTGTTATTACCTAATTTGTTTTATACCTGATTTCGTACGGGGTTGAATTTTCAATTGAATCTTTTATTCTAACAGCGAAAATAAGTAAAAAGATTTAATTTTGCTCTTTAATGTCTTACATTAATTCGGTGCCCAATTACTGCGAAAATTCGTTCAAATTTAGATGAACATTCTTACAAATTATCGTATAGTTTGTTTATTTATTTCCTATTCATTCTTCACTTGTTATCATCCTCCGATTTCATCCATTCAAATACAGTATAAACATATTTATAAAAGAGTCTGGTTTCAAATAAAGTCATGATAGCAATTAAATGACTGATTATAATAGTTGTAATAACAAAGATTATGTGTATATACAATATTCATACACGATTTCTTATTATTTCTGAAAACATGAAATATAGTCAAAACTTCATTGAATTTAACTTGTCTGTGATGCTGACAGGTTTCATACGGAGCGAGGTGACTACATTTAGAAATAAATATATTCACATTATCATAATTTTTAGTCCCTTTTTTACTCTGTGTGAGATATAGCTTATAAGTTCATGCATGAATTCAGTCGTTACAATATAGTTGCATTTGTTCAATTTATTCCGTATAGTTGATAAACTGAACTCCTATGGTCAAGTATTGTCAATAATCCCAAAGCTTCAAGAATGGGATTATCTCATTATGAGTGGTCGTCAGTGGACATATGGAAGCCATATTGAATTATCACTTTTATGGTATCCTCCAGGTGGAAGTTATAAGAATTACCCTACAAAAAGTTTAATTGTATACAATTGTTCATCGTCTCCAAGTAGACATGTCAGTTTGGTATTTATTTATATTGTAAACTAATAATACTGTTTCTACAAACAACGGTAATAATTGTAATTAATATGTCAGTGTTGAAAACAGGCTTAATATTTTTGTGACAAATAATTGCCATTTGTTTATAATGTGAAGTTTACTCGATCTACTTATTGTTTAGGATCTGAGTGATATCATGAAGTGAACTATTTTGTAACTAAATAATAACAGAAGTCACAAAATAAACCGTAACAAAAAATACCGTACATTTATGGTCAGTTATTCATAATCACTGTGGAGCTGAGCACAGAAATGAGTTAACCTAATTCGCCATGTCACGTCAACCCAACAAGATAAAGTTAACTGGCTAAGCAGCAGATAGATCAAGACCATCGTAGCGTCTATGATAACACAAAAGGCTAAAGATATAGAATATGGTTTGACAAGATGGAATGTAAAGGTACATATGAAGGAATATTGGTACTCGATATCTAAATGAAGATAAAGGGCAAATATATCTGTGCCGACACCGATTTTGATCTATTTCATCCAATGTTTTCAACTGATGACCAAAATTAGTCAAAAACGATTCTCCAAACTTAAGCGTTTTAAGTTTCTGGACGGCATACTTACTGTGGAATCAATCCACATGGCTCGCATCCTGAATAGCTTATTCTCTAAAACACCGAAAAAGTGTATAAATATTCACACACTACTCTGTGTATCATCAATTTTATTGAAGTACAAATGTTTTCTTTTTTCTCAATAGTTTGAGGGTGGGTTCAACAGTTATTCAGGGCATAGTACAAGTTATATTGCAAAATATTGCTTTGCATTTGCTCTTGTGTTTACTCTTTCGTTAAGATTCGATTCGCGTAGCTAGATGCGAGTCATAACAGTTAGTAACTGTTTTCCTGTTGACTCAAATATTAATTAAGTAACTACATAATAGGTAATTTATTTCACTGTGTATTAACTTTTTTGTCTTTCAGCAAACCTATGCCACTATCATTCATAATAATAAAGTCACATATTGGATGCCTGAATGTGAAAAACAAGCCAAGATATATGGATTTGTTGATAATATCAAGGTAGCACGTGATCTTTACACTGATTTAATGAAAGTATTCTACGCAAATCGAAAGTCATCGGAATATACTGGTTTAAGTAGTATGAAATTATTGAATACTGTTAATGATACTAAAAATCCATCGTAAGTATTCCGACTTTTTGGTATAGGCGAAGATTCTATGGTTCATGTTGGAACTACTTGTAAAATTGTGATTGTTTATTTTGAAATAACTTGGATATCACGATATTTTGGTACCATGTTCAATGCTTTTAAGATTATATATCATGTCGACTCAGTTTACTTTTATTACTATATAACCTTACAATTCCTCCCCGCCAAATGGCTATTAACTGGATGGTTATAAATTTTAAGAATTCGCGGACAACACACCTCGTTATCTTTCGCTAATTACAGGTCGGAAATGTTAAATGTTTGGAGGTAATCCACAAAAAACCCTGGACCCAGGTTTCTCACTAGTTGGTTTACTTACAATCCTAATGAAACTGACAAATCATCACCTAATATCATTGCATATTGCAAGAAATATCGATGCACTCAGACTAATGACTACATTGCAACTTAATCAACAGAATTCTGTTGACATTTAAAGACTAAACAAATATGACATTAGTTACTATTCTATGACCAATCACTCATACAGATTTTGTGTATTTGTGTTTAAACACCACACCGTTCCTCTGAACACTAATAGTTATACATGAGTGCTCGAAACTGAAAAAGGTGAAATGACGTTAAAATTTGATTTATTTCCGGGGTCAAATAAGTCCAAATTACCAGTCCTTGTGTTTTAATTACACGCCACGCCGTTAAGTATTATTATCGTTTCCTACATTGTAGGCGTAGATTACGGCTTTGCGTATAAACGTGCACATACTGAGTTGCATTATTGTTTATTTACCTCGTTCGAAATTTATCGAAACCCTCTATGTAAGCAACATATAAGCATTTAATTATTCAACTGATGTTGTAATACATTTCGAAGGCCGGTATTTCAAAAAGACGAATTGTAGTCCATCTACTAAATGAGAGTTTTTGTGTTCGGGTCTGGGGCTACGTTTTATGTGAAGGTTGATGATGCTAGCTTGCTGCTCAAACTGAGGTAGATTAGTGTTAGAGCTCGAACTAGGTACCTTGTAGTTGGAAGCATAACGTTTTGACTGTTAGACATATACGAACTTATTGTTCGGTCAATTTGAATCGTTTTACATCCAAGACATACTTTTTTATTTTCATAAAGGCTTCTTACAAACAGACCTTATATTTCCCTACACCGAGAGATTAGTTTGTACATCAGTTTTTGTCACTTGAAAATTGGCTTGGATTTTGACAATTTAAACAGATAGTGTATTCCTAGTTACTTACCACTTGATTCTTAATTATATTCTAGATGATTTCACTTGGTAACTAGTAAAACCATTGTTGCCAAGTCTTCCGCTATCCGACTCAGTTGCTCTTATAGTTTAGGCTTCTTCGAACATTTTACCTCACTCGACTAGTCCCCAAAATCAGAAGGCGACTTGGACAGGAACGTAATTATATTTCAAAACAAACCGAGTTGAATAACGATGAATTTTTAGTAAGAAAATCGTTAGAATACCTGTAATTTTACACAAGCTTCTGTAGTCTTTTTATCTGACAGCTCCGATTGGGTTGAATTAGTTCAGTCAACGTGCTCCGACACAATCTTCATGGATCATGCTTTATTACAATGTCCTACTAGCAATTGCATAATAAAAAAAACAAATATCGTTGTAGAATAACATAAATTCATTTATTTCGTGGATTTCTTTCAGCTGCTTACAACCCACGGCCGTAGTATTATTCATGAAAACGAAACAAGGTTACATATTTTTTATCGGAAATGTCTCGAATAAATTGAGTTAATAGGTGAGAGACAGAATAATAATCAAAGATAACAATATGGAAGAATTGACATCGCTTAAACGTTCACTTATTTGCAGGTTGAATATATATGAATGCTCTAAAACAACATAGAAACAAATTTTTTTCAAAATTGAAGATAAATTGTGTAATACTCACTTAAAAATATAGATTAGTTGAATAAAGCTCCCGTGTAAGAATTAAGATATTTGAAATTTTAATTAAGGTTTTTGGAAAAATGTCCAACGTAATAGTCTGACGAAAAAAAGTCATTAGGGCAAATCAAGATTGATAACAGTATCTTTTTGGATACGTCAATTCTGTTTATATTTTTCTATTGCAATAGCTTCGAGAAAAGGTAACAGTTTTGGATTCCTTGACTTATTGAACATCTTGAAGGATTTTCAGACATTAACATCATGTTCACTATCGAGTAAATTACGAGTGATTTCACTGTTGAGAACGTGTCCATTTAGTCCAGACTTTGTGGAATATCTTCAGAGATGAGGACACTAACCACTCTTTCTGTTCTTTCTGTGTATGTGCTTTGGAACGTACATATAAACTGGTAAACACAATTGAAGGTAATATAAGGTGGAAATTTGTCTGTATTTGATTGTCGTAACGAAAATTTAGTTTGATATAACGACGCCGACTTAGCCACTGGATACATCCTTTTTAGTATTGCTTTTAGCCTGAATTCAATCCCAACTATGTCATCCGTTTTGAAGCTAAGTTTTAGAAAGACTGGCTTTTTTTTCAACCGTGGAATATCTTATTTCCTTTTTTTCTAGTCGTTCCATATTTATTTGTAAACTTGCAGATAACCATTATCACGTAAGCGATGTTCAACTAATGGCTGATACCTTCTCGATTCTATATTCAGAAAATCATCTGCGAACACGATTAAATAACCCTCTGAATAAGGACGTTTGTAGCCTATTGCACAAAAGCTATGGACGTTCAAATAAAGCTCACTCAATATGTCGTTTCGATAAAGATGTCTTAACAATCGGCTATTTGAATTACGATAAATACCAAAGTCTAGAAAATGAAACATGTCGTGTTCATATACCAATGCAAATCTAGTTTGCACTTTTCTGAGGAGTTTCATCCTTGGATAAAACAGCTATCTAATGCTTCCTAGCCTTCAATGATTGTTGAAGGTCATTTCGTGACGTAACTTGTAATATTGAATTTAAGCTTTAATTACAGCATTATATGACAGAATTTATCTATAAATATGCTTATTTCAATCGTTTTTTGTCATTTGATCTATTTTCAGTCATGTACAAGTATTAAATATAAACTTCTATATTAATGCCCAATATAACACTAATGATATCATCATAGAAAAATTATACCTTGGTAAATTAACCAATTTACAATTAACATTTCCAACTGTAAATAGAATAAACTTGGCAGAGAAATTATTTCATGAAATACGTTTTATATCTGCTGCTGATTGGTTTATTAAGCATCAAGATAAAAAGACTGGTGGTTGGTCTGTTAATGTTCAACGTTCATTCAATGGTAGAAAAGCTCTAAAACCTGGATGGTATTCTGCTATGGGTCAAGGTAATTCTGAATTGTTAATTTTTTTTCAATATTTTAACCAATAGTGTAACATCTTCAATTACTTTCTGTTGTATGGTCCTAAAGAAATTATACTACCGTAAAATGATTGTCTCTAGTGTATTTAAACGCATTTTGTTATTACGGCTTCAAGGATAGTTATTTAATGAATGGAGCTGTAATATTAATTGTAATACTAAATCTATTGTTGTGCTTTTGTCAACACATAATAGATATCTTCTTGAGAAAGTGAATTATGTAAGAAGCCTACATGTAATTCATTGCTAGGGCTAATTTATTATTAATGTTCACCTGTAGAATGTGATAAGTGCATGGTTTTAGAAGAAAGCTTTTAAATAAAGACAGTGAATTGTTGTCAGTAAAGCGGATATTCATTGGTTAACGCTTAGAACTTTCAATCACTGGAAGGGATGATGACGCAAAATATATTTGACAAAGCTGCTAAAATTGTTTAGTACGCGTTTTGTACATATTCAAATGATACTTCTCGTTTGATTCATTTCGAGGAAGGGAACTAAAACTGACTAAATACATTATTCACTTAATCTTAATCTTTCTTCAACATGGCTAACGAAGTGCGTCTGTTTTAATGCATTAGTTTGCTCTGTGCTCATTTACAGTTATGTAACATGGCAACGTTTACTGGGATCAGAAACGTTTTTAGGGTTCGATGGATACTGTGTGTCAATAATATCAGGCTTACTTCCAGAGTTTTAAATGGGTAAAGTAGGTCAATCAATGATGTCAATATTCACTAACCGAGACATATTTTGTACAGTTTAAGCCTCCTTTAAATCTTCGTGTATGACAATTGGTTTTGTATTGGTTTAGCAAACAGAGTTAATTTCTGAATCAAATAGAATAACACTGTATAAAGTTACTATTGTCATGAATTTTGTTAGGAGATATAGATTTCGCTATTCAAGTTCCCGACTTTCTGGAAAACATTAATCACAGACAGTAAATTACACAATTTAGGAACAATCGCATGGAATTTGCTGCATTTATTTTGTATTGTTTAAATCACTAAACCTAAACTTCATTTGGTCATTTACAATCCTGTTAGTTTTCCCTCTCCCAGCCGACTAATAAACTTAATTAATTATAACTTTATTTCAGGTCAAGCGATTTCGCTTCTAGTTAGGACTTATAATTACACTGGGAACCCATTATATTTGGAAGCTTGTCATCGTGCTTTAGATTTGTTTAGTGTAAATATAAATCATGGAGGTATTCGTTCGTATTTCCTCAATCAATCCGATTTAGTATGGTTCGAAGAGTACCCGTTTGATCCTCCAATTCATATATTAAATGGCTTTATTTATTCACTCATAGGTTTATATGATTATACCAAAGTAAGTTTAACGCTTTTAAAATTTCTATTTTATTAGAACCACATAATGAAGCATTTAATTATTTGTCTGATGGTTAGACAATAACATCAGTCCATGAAGTTTGGCAGTAGTCCAGTGCCTAAAGTATCGGGAATTCAATCAGTAGGTTAGATGTTTAAACTTTATTACCGTCCATCAGTGGAGTTCAACCAGGTCTGTTGTGAGATAGCAAATCACTGAAGGCAATGGTGGACGGTGGCGCAATTTAATGGATTGGTTGAAGCTGGATGCCAGCTAAGTGGTCTAGAGGTTAGGCGTTCGCGCGCAAGACCGACAGGTCCTGGGTTCGAGTCCTGCGAGCGAGGTCGTGGGTGCGCACTGCCGAGGAGTCCTATACTAGGATGAAATGGCCATCCAGTGCTTCCAGGTTTTCCATGGTGGTTTAGCCTTAATTGACTCATGAATTCAACCATTAAATTACTGTAATTTGCACAAAACTGCCTTCTGATAATTTTGTATCAACCAATAAATTGGTTTTACCCACCTGAGTGCTTGTTCACTACAGTATCACCAACTTCCATCAAATCTTTATGGTCCAAAACGAGTTCATAATCTTGTAAGTGGTAAACTACTCTTGTTTAATGAAGTTATTGACTGTTGAGAATTGAATACTTCATGGTTATAAATAAGAATAATATGTCTTATTGTTCCGTTGTACTATCTAAACTTGGATTAATTTTAACTTGGTTATTTATTCTCTGAAGAAGTGACTTACACTAAATCACGAAACGTCAGAAAATCTGATTTTTCTACTCATCGGGATATTACAAATATATTATTTATTTATAACAATCTACCCAATGCTCAACTTATTCGAAATTATCAAATCAAACCTTGGTGGTGATACCTACTTCATGGTTATGTTTTGTTGAGAAAGTACAACCGATTGTTGAAGACTTTATGTAACATAACTCCAAATGGAAAACAATGGCGCAAATGGATTCATTTTTAGTCTAAAATTACGCCTTCAAACCAGTGTTGTTCTCATAATGTTCAGTCTCTTTTTTATTTCATTTTTTGAAACTCTTTTATGCAGCAGTTGGGATGACTCTCCCACATTGCATGAGGATTTCATATACCTAAGTTAATTGTTGCTCTGGTTATGAGAAGGGGCATCAGCCTCGTGACTTTTGAAGGAACTCGCTTTTCACCATGAGGCGTCATAACTCTTCTAAATGGAAGACCTAACTCCCACGGCAGAGTTTAAGTGGTTTGAATTATTTTTTCTGGTTGGCGTTTTTGCAGCGAGTTAGTTTTCTACGGATGCGGTCGCTAACCCCATTTCCAACCCTTCTTCATTCGGGCTTGGATCCGGCAGTAGCCCCAGAGGGGCTTCAGTCGGAGTTGGAACCGTTTTATGTTTACTTTATATCTTCTGCATTATAATTCCATTATTTTGTGAGACATGTGGAATGATTATTAGTTTACTGTCTAAATATTTGATAAGCGATTCTGTCGTTTAAACGCAAAACTAATCATACTTAGTTTATTCGAATTTTTATATATTCACGAGACTGAGTTAGAAAGAAGGATGTTCGGTAGTACAGTGCACCTTTGACTAATATGTTTTTATCACCTCTTTTCAAAATGAACCATTTATTGGTGAGCACTAATTACACTCATTGAGTATTTTTTTTATCATTACGCATTCAATATAATATATGCACCTTAAAATTAGAATTAAATAACTTGAGAACAATTAAGTAATTCTTCGTCTTCTGTATTTCATCCAATCAAATGCCTAATTGCTTAATGTTCAAGACATAATTTTTAATGCAACTATAACAAGATAACGAATGCCATTTGATCTTAAGATATTATACAGCTATGAAAAAAATACTTGACTCATTGGGATTTTACAACTACATGATTTCTGTCAAAAAGCTCTACTGTTCTAAAAATCTGTAATCTGTTTCTCTTATTCAAATGATTTCTTTTTTATTTTTATTTGATTTTTTACCGACTGGATTCCATGTGTAAAGATGATTCTCATACCATAATTTCGCATAAGCTTAGTTATTATAGGAGTTATTGGTTTACACAACCTGTTTTCTCTCTTATTGTAGTTATTGGTGAACTCTGTGGATCCTTTGACTTTATCCTATCTTTCGAAAGCTCAAAATTATTTAGATATAGGATTAACAAGTTTGTCCAAATTGCTCCCGCTATTCGATTCTGGTAGTGGGAGTTTCTATGATCTTCGGCATCTTTCAACGGCATATAATAATAAACCGGTAAAACAAGGTCGATCTAAATTTTCTAAAAGTTCTTTTCAATTATCCACTGGACCCAATCGAGCTCGTTGGAGTTATCATTCTGTGCACATTAAACAACTTCAAACTTTGGCTGATTTAGATCCAAAACATGCTATTCAATGGAATACTACAGCTAATCGATGGATTGCTTATCTTCAAGGTTTCAGATCTCTTCAAAATTAATATGCTTACTTTTACAATCGAATTACGTTCAACATCTTTGTGTTTTAAGACGGATTCCAATCATTTACACTACTGTTACATATATACATATACCAGCCAGTAATTTGCATTTATTTTGATATTAGTCGTTATACATTATATGTATACAATATCTAAGTGATTATTGGGAATTACATTTAATTTCGTTTTCTTATTTAGTATTCACTTAAAACAATGCTTAAACTTTTAAGATTAAGATAAGAGACACACCCAGTTATCTACTGGATAATTTATAGGACATTCTTATTGATGGATCACTTCAATTTTGGTTTACTGTTTTATATTTTATGACTAAATAAACTTCCATAGTTTCTTTTGGTGTTTTCTACTTATGGCTAATAATAATATTGCATCAACTTGTTCCCACACGGCTTTTGTAGATATGGACGTCCTTTTTTAACAGTGATTCCTCGATCAAAGATTTTTCAGTTGAGAAACATTCAACTTTACGAGAGATATATTTTTACAAGTAACTCCTATTGCTGTAAACATTATGTTCACTGGTTATACACGTGTTCAGATATTATCGCTATTGTATATAGACTGGGAATTCCAATGTCTTGTTGAACATAAGTGTTTTTTCGTCAAACAATAGTGAACTGAGTTGTAACCCTAATTTGTAGTAATGTTTAACGGATTTACATTTTGTTGTAAAAATGATGCGTAGTAAACCATTCAGTTAATATTAACTGTTTCGTTTCCTCGCATTTGCAGCAATACTGAAAGGTAGACCGGTTTTTCTAACAGGTGCTGATAACAGTTGGATTCTTCAAGCCACCCTTGGTTTCGAAATATGGGTGTGTGGCACAATCCTTTTCTAACCAACAGTATGTTTACGACACTCCGTCTTAGAACCCAGTTACTTATCTTTCAGCTTATGTGACAAGTTGATAGGGCATCCCGAAAATACTGAAAGAACACAGTCTTAATGTTCATCTAAAGTTCAACTTGTTCGGATATCTCAATGGAGTTTGATAGATAATCCGTCATACATATAGCGCTTAATACTAATTAGTTAACCGCATACAGTCAGTGCATAAAATTAACCAAACGTATACACTTCACATATTTCATGCGTGCCTTCACTTGTAAGTTAGATACATCTCATCAATTCAAAGGAAGATAACAAGCCATCATTTGAATAGTATTCTATTTTGAATTACTTCCGAGGTTTTTAATTCCTCAGCATCCATAGGATTTTTCTAATCGAAACGTACTTTGTATTTTAAAAAAGTTTTATTTTTAAACTTCATAATGCGGATGAGGTTGCAGGGATAAAACACATTTCTGTATAGATTAGTAAAATACTACCATTCATTTTTTTTAATAACGTTCAATATCTTTCTTACCAATGAGATTGTATTTAGCTTTCACTGGTACACACAGTTATCTTGTGGTTCCTAATACAATTGGTGTATTTTTGCCAGTTAGTTTTGTCCTCTCTTACTGTTCATTTCAATGGAGCTTTCTTTTGTAAAATCATATTTTCCGTGTGTCAATAACTTTTATTCAGATGTTGGATAAGCAGTGTCTTGTTATAGCGTAGATGATAATAACCATTACGTGCAAGAGAATGCAACAGGATTGGATCAATTATGAACTTGAATATAGTAAATACACTGTTTTACAGCAATACGAAAAAATCTGGACAGTTGCATGGGATAGTAGTAGGATCTCAGGATTTTTGTGGGGTTCACTGTTTTATCACGCTTAACTGTGGGTAATTATTCCTGAAAATTAAAGTATCTGGTTCTGTATAAAAGTCATTTCGTGTTACGTTTGCGAATCATGTGTGGTAAACTAGTTCGGTGTAATTTTTCGGTTAAGTAACAGTAAAATCACAAGCAGACTTCATAGCATCTACAAAATACTAGTCTGTCATTTGTCAGCACTTACAATACTTCCTAATTAAGAGGGAGTAAGCTGACCCTTTATCGTTCTTTTTATGATTTCGAATCCTGACCAAAAGCTAATCATTCATCATACTTCCAGTTTATGTAATTACATACAGTTCTAGTGTTTAGAATGAACCTATTACAGCTATTGAGTGGTTAATTTGAAGGCTGGGACATCACTGTAAAGCTTTGATTTATGACAATAGTATTTATTGTTTAAAATGACGATTAGATAGTTTCGTTAATTTGAAGTTACCGATTTTCTGTGGAGCCCACATGGTAAATAATCTAAAATATGGTCTGAATTCTGTTATTATTATGAGTTTAAGTATTTGAATCGAGAGAGCGGTGATTCGGTATTTAAGGTATTCGATTTTCAGTCACTACTTCTCAGGTTTGAACCTCATTCCATCGGGTAATAACCCATGCTTACATTTAATGTGGCTCAAGACCAAGTACGCAAATCTACTACTAGTAGAAGAGTTGAGTTATATCTTGTGGCCTGTGTGCCCTATCAATGTATAACGTAATGATACCACCAATTGGAGAGCAGTAACTTATCGATCGGGCTAATGACGCATAAAACACGTACGAGCAGTCTAGAGTCCTTATTGGTCCTACTTCCTGCCTAGCCCAGCCAGTTAAGTCCAGAACGCCAATCTCAGCCTCCGCGATATGAATCATTTATCTCAAACATACTGGTTTTATATACTAATCAAACAGCCACATCGTACCATAAAATAGAAAATAATATTTGTACAAGATTTAGCCAAAAGTGGCTGTGAATGTGCGAGGTAGTGATTAATAGACAGGACATAATTCAAGAATGGTAGATCGTATAATAATAGTTCATAGGTCAAAATCAAGCTCATGATAAGAGGGACATGAATATAAACAGTTTAGTTATTTAACAATTATGTGATAAAAATATACACATAGTATTGGTCCATAAATGGATCCCGAAAGTTACCATTCATTATGCTTATCGAGACATAACAAGTTGTTTTGTCGACTGAAAAAAGAAAGAATGACAATTACTGGCAGGAATAGATTGACTAAAAAAGGTGTTTACAACGTCTACAGAATTTATTTATAACAAAGTTTAACTATGTAGCTTGATATGATTCCTTTAAGGTACGTCATATAACACCTACTCTTTTGTCAAT